CTGCCAAAATAATTGTTTAATGACTATTATAGCTGTCCTTATAGTTTTTTTGTAACAGTTTCCTACCCCATTGGGAAGGACAGAGGAGTCTTACAAGTCTGTCAGAGGTAACTTTGGCCTTTAATAAGTTCCAGGTACAACCATGCTTATAAAGCTACTTCCAATGACCATCTTTGTTGCTTTAATTGGAGTAAAGTGGCCTTTTGTAAAGACTTGCTCACCTGAGAACTGCGGTTCGAAGCCATCCTGGGCAAAGAAAGGTCCCTGTGAAACTGCCATCTGTAATCTGCCAGCAGAGTGTTGAAAAGCAGAGTTGCTTTGGAGCTCCAAGTGGCAGAGCACTAGCCCTGAGCTGAAGAGCTGAGGTACAGTGCTCAAACCCTGTGTTCAAGTACAGTGACCAACCAAGGAAGATACCAAAGGTGCATTTATCCCAGCATAGAGAAAGGCACTCCTGGGTCCCAAGCAATGATGGAGCATCCAGAGGCAGTTACAAGCCACTGCCTGGATGGCAGAGATGGTGTCAGATCCTGGAGTCACTTGTGTTTGGCCCTTCAAAAATTGATCAGAGCTGGGAGGTCATGGGAAAGTAGATTGTAAGCATGCCTTTCTAATGGCCATGTCTGTCCACTTTTGGGCAAGAACTTGCCAGTCATCTGTGATTGTAGGTAATAAAAAGCTAAGGTAAAATGTTGGGGATAGTTTAAATCTCAAATGCCCGTATCTGCTCAGTGTTGTAATTGGCAGTGACTTTTAGGCTGACACCAGCCACATAAATTGATCTGTTAAGGAAAAAAGTTTGTAGACCTGAGATTATGTCCCTATTGAGATCTGCCTAAAGGCCTACATGGGTAGGCATTGTTAGGGCCACTAGAAATCAGCTTTTCTTTGCCAGCCAGAAAAATGTTTTTACAAACCAGAGTGTTAAACATGCTACACTGCTGTAGCCCAAAACCTAAAATACCAACATGGAGGATACTCTTCCTCAGAGTCCTTACAGGACTACATGCATTGTGACATATGATTTTGCCTGTCCCAAATGACTAACACCTCTAATTTTTGTCTGAGGCAGGAACTGGAGTTGGGACTTGTACTCAGGTCCTGCTTGTTTCTTCTGGTATGCAAACCTGCAGTAGATATAAATACCATCTATGCTGGCTTCTATAATTGGGAAAGCCTTTACATGAGAGACCAGCAGATACCCTGATGTTATACGCCACCCTGGATTATAATGCTGGAAAATAACACCTGTGCCCAGGTCCAAAATTGCACCCATGACTATATAGCACTAAAGAGGGCAACTTTACTTATGCCAACTATGAACGTATTTTGTATGTGGAGGCCTATGTCTCCGTAACCAATGGCTATTTTTTGACCTGTGAAAGTTACACTTTTGATTATATCTCTGCCTATCTGCCTCATAACTCCCACTGCTACCTAAAGCTGTCTAGCTGTGGTGCTGCCCGACAAGGAGTTTTTCCAGCCTCAATGAGGTCGTAAAACTAGAAATCTGGGGCTGGATGAAAGTTGTATTGATAAACTACACCTTCGATCTGAAGCAGAATATAATACCCTCACTTTCTCCTTGATTGGGACACCAGAATTGGCAGCGGGGCCTATAAGGGTGTCATGTGTTTGGCATGCATAGTGGTCAAAAATATTAATTACACCTCCACTGCTAAATCAAAAGCAGCAGGAACATAGGCATGCTAGCCTTGACAATAGTGCTGCCATCGATTACCTACTCTTACTTCACCATCAAGGGTGCGAGGAGGTAAAAAACATGCTGTTTTAACTTAACTGATAACAGCTATACCATTAAGGAACAAATCAGGCTTCTCAAGGAATTTTAAAACAAAATCCAACAAAATAAAGGGGGATGGGACCTCTCTGGGTGGTTTACTCCCTGGCTTATGCTTATCTTGGGTCCCTTAACCACAATGTTCTGCCTTATTTTGATCATGCCTTGCTTGCTCAGGTACATGAAGAACATCCTCATGGTGAAGATGAGACCTGTCACCAATCAGTCTGTCAATCAAATGCTCCTGAGAGGGTACCACTTAACCACCTCTCAACAGGAAGCAGCTCCAGAAGAAGAGACCTTTGCCCATAATCCTGACCTGGTGCCCCCCATCATTTATAAAACCAAAGAGTTGGGAATGTTAGTGAAATGAGCTCCCTTCCCATAGCTTAGTCCACTACTTCCCTTCTCCTCAGCTTAGCATGCTCCCTTCCTAGGCAACACTAGGCCCAGGTAACAAAGGCAGTAAAGAATCAACTTCCAACCCCCTTTACCTTAGGATGGCACTTCTCTGAGGCAACTACCACCATAGAAGGTAGCCAGAGCCCCTCAGAGTGACCTTCTGGGCAGCTCCAGGTCCCTTATCTACTATTTGGATAGCAGCCATAAATCCTAGCCCACCATGATGAAGCCCCTGGCCCTCATGTCCACACCAGGGTCTCTGCCTCCTAGCCCCTTCTAGCCACTCCTAAACCTCCTAGGTTATATTGGTCACTCCAGACAATAGCCAATGTTGCTTCTCACTTCTCCCTTGTGAAAAGGGGTCTTGCCGGTCCCCTTTCCCAGCAATAAACCTTCCTTTGTTCTCTGTACCTGGATGTCTGCATGGTTCTCTGGCAAAGTCTAATAATCTATCATTAGCTTTCTTTTTAAAATCCTTAAATCATTGCAGGACTAGATCTAGGGGAAGTACCTCAGTGGGTACTACTTGTCCCAAGTCTTCCTGTGAAGTAAATCCAGTCACAACAACAGCAAACAAGAGCAGAAGCAAGCACAGACACAGACAGACGCAACAGTACACAGAACGAGAAACAAGGTAAAAATCTCTCCTTTTTAGACCATTTTCATTATCGGCCAATCCTCTCCCTATGACAACTGCTATCAGGGAGGCAAAATGTCTGTTCTTCTGATAAAGGCAATATCACCTTGGTTCCCGGGAGTGGATTTCACATCACTCTCAATAAGGACATTCACAAGGGTATCAAGGTGACCCTTGACCACCCAGCCTTAGAGAGCTTCACTGTGTCCAGCCTCTCTCTGTCTTAGGCCCACAGTGCACGTTCTCAACACAGTACACCGCAGCCCACGGAGTTGTACTCACTTCCAGAGGTCTCTTTTCTTCACCTGGGGCATCTTCCCCAAAAAGGTGGTTAAGGTCTCTTTTTTAGCCAGTGCACCAGGGTCTGTGGGAGGGGATTTCACATCCCACACAGAGACAGTCTCATGCAAAAAAAAAAAAGATGCATTTATTGGGGAAGTGGATAGTTGACCAGCCAGGGATGCAGCACAGAGTCAGGAGCTCAGACTGCGACACCCGCCCCCCCCCCCCCCCAGCAATCCTCAAGCTGGGGGTTTTAAGGGCAAACCATGTGGTCCAGCCAGGCCACACACAAGTGGTCAATGGAGTGACAGTCTGCCTCATTACCACTGCTTGAACTAACCTCTCATCTTGGTTTGAACTGGCACTCAAATGTAATGGGTCCCCACACAAAGCAGGGAGATATTCTTCCCCGTGGGGGTGGGAATAAGGCTGCTCCATCCTGGAAGGGCAGAGGTGGCCGGGTTGCTTTACTGTTGTTAACCTTTGACATTTCACCATGCTGGTGGTCAAGCAGATTACATAATCTTATCACAGCAAGCAGAGGGACTGTCCAAACAGTCTCGACCTTTCCCAGAATCTCAACAGAGACGGCGTATTTCCTGATCTTGAGGTGCTTGTGAGAGAGCAGTATTTTAATTCTCAGGGGTGGGGGAGCTCTTAGTGCATTGAAGATGGAGTCCGTTTTGCTCTCCTTAACAGCAGCAAGAAGGCTCTGTTGTTCACCACAGCCCTGGCATTCTGGGGTGCAGAATACTGACCGCCCCTTCTGTGGTTTCTGTGGGGAGTATAAGTTGTGTGTGTGTGTGTGTGTGTGTGTGTGTGTGTGTGTGTGTGTGTGTATGTGTCCTGAGGCTTGAACTTGGGGCTTGGGTGCTATCCCTGAGCTTTTTCACTCAAGTCAGGTGCTCTACCACTTGAGGTTTTTCTGTCTAGGGATTTACCCCCACCAAACAGACTTTCCTGTCCAGGCCACTTCAAGTCCTGATCCTCAGATCTCAGCCTCCCAGCTGGGATGACCGGCTTGAGCCATGGGCAGTTGGCTCCTAACAAAGCTATTGTAATAAGAGGAGAGAGGGGGGTGAGGGGGCACAGAGAGCTGGAAGAACAGGTGGGACCGGTGTGTGCCACGCAGCCAGTCTGTCACCAGGAGAAACAGTACAGTGGGAGAATGTTCCAGCAGGGCAACAGTGCCTCTGTGTGGAGTCCCAGGTGCAGGGAATGGGGGAAGCTGCATGGTGGAGGCTCCGTGGGCCTTGCAGGTAGCAAAGGTGGGATCATGGATGGAGATGGACAGCCGTCCATCCAGGGACCACCTTCTTCTAAGTCATTCCCAACTTTTGTTTGTTTGTTTGTAGGAATACTGTTTTTTGTTTTTTGTCGGTCCTGGGGCTTGAATTCAGGGCCTGAGCACTGTCCCTCTGCTCTTCAGGTCAAGGCTGGTGCTCTACCACTGGAGCTACAGCTCCACTTCTGGCTTTTTGCTGGTCAGTTGGAGGTAACGCACATTTCTGCCCAGGCTGGCTTCGAACTGGGATCATCAGCCTCTGGAACTCCAGAGCGCAGGCGCGCTAGGGGGTCCAGACGCCGGGCACAGTGCATTGTGGGAGCCGTAGTTCCCCTGGCACCCGGCCCCGCCCCCGGGCGCCTGCGGGCCGCCGAACAACAGTCGCCCCGGCCGAGGCTCTCTGGGACTTGTAGTTCTTTCCCCAGTCGGCCGCGCTCGGACTGCGGGAGAGCCAACTACCATTCCCAGAATCCCGCGCGGGCACGGCGGCCGTCGAGCGCCGCGTCTCCGGTCTCGGCGGGTCGCGGGCGTCTGTAAACACCCTGAGGCCGCCATGGGGCGAGCGGCGGAGGCGGCGGCCCCGCCGCGGGGCGTTCGCGGCCCCCGGCGTCCGCTTCGCCGGTCTTGAGGCGGCCTCCGGGCCCGCGGACAGCGGCTGCGGGGAGGAGGCGGCGGGCCGGGGAGGAGCGGCGGACCTCATCTCGTCCTCGGCGGCGCCCGGGCGGGCGGAGGCCCGTGGCCATGGACGACAGCAAGGTGGGCGTGAGGGGGCCGTGGGGGGGCCGAAGGGGGTACGGGGGCTGTGAGGGGGGAACGGGGGACCTGGGGGGAACGGGGGACGTGGGGGGGAGGAGGCGTGACAGGACGTGGGGGCATGAGGGGGGACCTGGGGGCATGAGGGGGGATGGGGGGACGTGGGGGCGTGAGGGGGGACCTAGGGGCGTGAGGGGGGACCTGGGGGCATCAGGGGGGATGGGGGGACGTGGGGGCGTGAGGGGGGGACCTGGGGGCATGAGGGGAGATGGGGACTTGAAGGGGGAGGGAGGGCGTGGAGGGTGTGAGGTGGGAAGTGGGGGGCGTGAGGGGAACGTGGGGGCCCGGGTGGAGAGTGAAATGGGGGGCCCAGGGCACCAGTGGGCCCCGCCTCCTCCTGATTTTTTCCCAAGTGCCGCCCTGCCCCTGGACCTTCAGCGCCCTAAGCCTGAGGGGCCTGCGAGACTCAGGCCTAGGCCTCCACTCTCGTCACCCCTCTGGAAACCCAATTGGCCAGCTCTTCTCAGAAGTGCAAGCCTGCGCCTGGACATGGCCCCTGGCCAAGGGAAGGAGCCGCCGTGCCTTTTCTTCACGGGCTCTGTGCCTCCCAGTTGACCCCTGTTAACCAGTGGACTCTTCTGTGGATCCTCACTGAGGCCCCCATACTGGAGCCTCTCCCCTTGCCTGGGCTTGGTGGAGCCCTCGGGGGTTCTGTGGCCAGAGCGCCCCGGCTCACCTCCTCTAGAACACCTTCTCCAAGAAGAGCACTTGGAGCCAGGGCCATGGCTCTGCCTGCCCCTAATCCTAGCCACTCAGGAGGTGGAGATCTGAGCATTTGCTTCAGAAAACTCTCTGAGTCCCTTAACCAGCAAAAAGCTGAGGCTCAAGTGGTAGAGCTTTTTTTTTCTGCTTATGTGGTGCTGAGGAATCGAACCCAGGGATTCATGCATGGGAGGCAAGCACTCTACCACTGAGCCACCTTCCCAGCCCAAATTCTAATTCTTTTTTTTTGGCTGGTCATGGGGCCTGAACTCTGGGCCTGGGCACTGTCCCTCAGCTCTTCAGCTCAAGGCGAGCACTCTACCACTTCAGCCACAGCGCCACTTCTGGCTTTTTCTGCTTATGTGGTGCTGAGGAATGGAACCCAGGGCCTCATGCATGCTAGACAAGTGCTCTACCACTGAGCCACCTTCCCAGCCCCTCAAGTGGTAGAAGCTTTGAGCACAAACGCTATGGGACAGTGTCCAGGCCCTTAGTTCAAGCCCCAGGACCGGCACAAAAAGAAAATCCTGAAATTCCTATTAACCTACTTAATGTCCATCATCAGATAGCCTTTTCCCCTTTCCTGAATTGCTCAGGATACATCATTTCTCATAGAGTTTCATAAGCATAAAACATAGATAAAGCAATTCATACTCAGAGAATTCTTCACAATCTTTGTATACTTCTCTGTTGAGTTGTTAACATGGCAATCACAATGAGCTTGTAATTTTGAGTATGGATTTTTTACTTCCTCAGGTAATTAAAAATTCCTCATAAACTAAACATTTAGTGTATTATCCACCTTCAAATGGCCTAAAAAGTGTACTGCTAAAGAACATAATTTTTTTTTTTTTGGCTGGTCCTATGCTTGAACTCAGAGCTTGGGTGCTGTCGCCAAGCCTCTTTGTACCCAAGGCTAGTGCTCTACCACTTGAGCCACAGCACCACTTCCAGCTTTTTCCTGAGTAGTTTATTGGAGATAAGAGTCTTGCAGACTTTCCTATCTGGGCTGGCTTTGAACTCAGATCCTCAGATTCCAAATTCCCGAATAGCTGAGATTACAGGTGTGAACCACTGGTACCCAAACTTAATTATGACTGACTTGCTAGCGAAAGTGTCTGTGCACCTCCTTTTTCCATGAGGATCCTGGGAGGGGCTGAGGTTGGCCAGGGGCTGATTGGACCATACCTTCTCTCTTGCTGCAGGTGGTAGGTGGCAAAGTGAAGAAGCCAGGCAAGCGGGGCCGGAAGCCAGCCAAAATTGACCTGAAAGCCAAACTGGAGAGGAGCCGACAGAGTGCCCGGGAGTGCCGTGCCCGGAAGAAGCTCAGATACCAATACCTGGAGGAGCTGGTGTCCAGCCGAGAGCGGGCCATATGTGCCCTCCGAGAGGAGCTGGACATGGTAATGGTGGGATGCCCTCAGTGCCACCTGGTGGTCACAGGATCCCCAAAATGGAGCAGCCTGTCCTGCAGCATCACTGCAAAGGCTGTTCCTCTGGTAGCCCGTGTGTGTGTGTGTGTGTGCGCGCGCGCGCGCGCACAGCAGGCTTACATTTCCTCACACCGCTGATGCAGGGCAGTTGTGCCTGCCTGTTCCATGGGGAGATTGCTAATGAGAGAAGACACTAGAAAATCACCCTGGCTAAAAGAAAAGGCTCTACATTCATATACTGTGACTACTTTGTAGCCAGGCATGGTGGCCCATGCCTATGATCCCCGCACACTGAACGCTAAAGCAGGAAGATAAGTAGATTGAGGCCAGCCTGGGCTGTCTAGCGACTCTGTCTCAAATCACAGCACGTGTATCTATTTCCTGTTGCAGACGTGCAGTAGAACGCTGTGTAATGGTGGCCAGGTGAATTTCCATGTTTATCCAGTTGTGGGGTGATAGCGGTTGGTGTGGGATGATAGTGATGCCAGCATGAGCTCTGAGATGCCGGGGCAGAGACTGCAGCCAGGCAGAGACCTCAGCTGGGCAGATACCAGGGTCCCTCACCTGTGCAGCACCAGAGCCAATGCAGGTGCTGATGGCATGTGTACCACGAGGTCATGGTGTGGAGGCTGCGTGTATATGTGCGTATGTGAGAGAGCTGGAGGGTAGGCAAGGGAAGTGAGAGGAGCACCCACTAGATTTCCCTCAGGCTTGGGGGACAGCATACTGGGGAGACAAGAGTTCAAGCAGCATCTGACACTTCATGAGAGGGATAACCAGCACCCATGGGGGAGGAGCGGGCTCCCTCCCGCAGTGTGCGTGTGACCTTTCACCCATACTTGCTTCTCTTCCAGTACAAACAGTGGTGCGTGGCCATGGACCAAGGAAAAATCCCTTCTGAGATCAAGGCCTTGCTCACTGCAGAAGAGCAGAGCAAATCTCAGCAGAGCACCAGCAGGCTCGGCAAGACCGGCAAGGCAGACGCGGCCAGCAATTCCTGTGCGTACAGCGCCCGCCCTGGGGCAGCCCGCAGGCCGGGGGTGTGTGTGTGTGTTACATGATGCGTGTGCTTAAAGCATGAGCTTGATGTGGGGGTGCAGTGCACAAGTGCAGCTGAAGGGGCCGTGCACTCTCCATACTGAAGCGTGATTCCCGTGGTGTTCATCGAGAGCAAGCGAAGGCCATGTGTGGTGGTGTGCACCTGTAATTCCAGCGCCAGGCTGGCCCGACCACCTAGCAAGAGCTCCGTCCATAAGCAGGAGTGGCATCACTTACTGTTGCTAGCTCACAAGAACTTTCACGTAGGTTAAATATTTAATAATTGCAATGAAGGTTTATACTTTTAATTCTTTGGGAGTACACACTATATGCTTAGCATACCTGAGGGCCCGGGGTTCGGTCCCAGCTCCCACAAAATGGAAGAATTAGGAGCGGGCTGGATGAGGACCCCCCCCCCCCCCCCCAGGGGCCCAGGTGCAGTGGTAGCGGTTAAACCAAGGCTGCTGGAGGGCCATCTTTCTAGTGAGGTGAGATACACTAGGAGCTGTGCAGTGGGGGGGTGGGGGCAGGTAGGTGAGGCACTTGGTCATACCATCCTCAGGGCTGGATCTTGCTCGGGGAGAACACCTAGCTTCTCTGTGTGTGCATTGAGTTTTGTTGAACGCTCTTTATCTAGTGCTGGCCTCTCCCAGGTCTGGCTGGCGGCCCCCCTCCCCCACTCAGACATCCTCACTTCTAGATGGCCTTGATGCACAAAGTGTCCATTTGGAGGAAATGGGCTTATCTTGTTCTCTGTGTTGCTCAGAGCTGGCGTCACAGCCCAAGGTCAGGAAGATTGGCCGCAGCATTTATCTCAGAAGTTGGACGTGGCTCCAGTTCCCGTTTGTTTTTCTTGACAGCGTGAGGGAGGCTGTGGGCTATGAACAGCACTTGTTCAGACTTTGAAGACTATATGGTGTTGGGCCTGCTATAGTGGCACACTCCTGTAGTCCCAGCACTTGGGAGCCTGAGGCAAGAGGATTGTGAATTCTGGGCCAACCTCGGCTAGTTAGCCATCTAAGAAAAATGAGGATGAGGAGGATGCCAGGTAGTGGGCTCGTTCTGCAGATGCTCTGGTGACACTGAGTAGTTAGGAGAAAAGAGCAGTGCTGGAGCGCCTGCTTACAGGCGCTTGAACGAGAGAAGATGCCACCTTTCATAAAACCTGTGTGAATTGAAGAGGTGAGCTTGATGTTTATTTTTATCTATAGCCAGTCCTGGGACTTGAACTCAGGGCCTGGGCTCTACCACTTGAGCCACAGTGCCACTTCTGGCATTATCTTTTTTGGTCGGTCATGGGCCTTGAACTCTGTCCCTGCGCTTTTCAGCTCAAAGCGAGCACTCTACCACTTGAGCCAAAGTGCCACTTCCGGCTTTCTAGTGGTTTATTGGAGATAAGAGTCTCATGGACTTTCCTGCCCGGGCTGGCTTTGAACCATGATCCTCAGATCTCAGCCTCCTGAGTAGCTAGGATTACAGAGGTGTGAGCCACCAGCACCCAGCTTCCAGCATTTTCTGTGTATGTGGTACTGAGGAATCGAACCCAGGGCTTCATGCATGCTAGGCGAGCACTCTACCACTGAACCACCTTCCCAGCCTTGACTTGATGTTTATTAACTGAGTCCAAACTGAATAGTAAAAAAAAAAGCAAAATTTTGCTACTTGTCTCTTAGTTCGCATTTCTCTTGTTTTTCTTTTTTTGATTGGTCATGGGACTTAAACTCAGGGCCTAGGCGCTGTCCCTGAGCTCTTTTGCTCAAAGCTAGTGCTCTACCATTTGAACCACAGCTTGACTTCTGGCTTTTTGGTGGTTCATTGGAGATGAGTCTCATGGAGACTTTCTGTGCCTGGGCTGGCTTCAAACCACAATCCTCAGATCTCAGCTCCTGAGTAGCTGGGATGACAGGCATGAGCCACCAGTGCCTGGCATGATACAACTTTTCAAAAGACAAAGGCCATGAGTTGTAGGACGGGCTGGGCAGACCTCACCAACCAGTGAACCTGGTGTTTTTCAGGGTGAAGGTCTGTGAGGAGATCTGATCGCCACCCCAGGCCTTGGGTCCGACTCTGAGAGTGTGCGGCATCTGCCAGTTGTGCAAGCGAGCGTGGATCACAGATCAGAGCGTAGAGTTTCTGCTCTAACCCCACCATGCCCACCATGTTCAAGTGTGGCGATGCTCGAACACCAGGAATAGAAAACGGGTGAAGACTGGGCCTTGGTACCTGCACTCCATATGGCTTCTTTGGTTAATTGATGTTCTTTCCATGTAATTGTGTGCATGGGCACAGTGCGTGCATGTGTATGTACATGTGTGTGCAAGTTTGGGTGTCACCTCCTCTCCCTTTGGTCACCCCACGAAGAGAAACCAAACAGGCTGATGACGGACTAGGTGCTGGGTCTTTACGTTGACTTGAGTCACATGTATTTCTGGCTCCTGTCAGCCGTTCCAACGTAAGCATTAGTGAATCTACAGTCTCTGTTGTCACAATCTACACCTGTGCTCCACAATGCACATATCAGCAAAACCCACCGAGGAGGCCCCGTGGCAGCCCCCATCTGGGCAACTGCTGTCTTCCCAGCTATACTTAACGATTTTGCCGCGGCCACGTGGACACATGGAGAGTAGTGATCACATTTGATTTTTAACCAAAGCAGCTATCAGTCACCCACAGTGTGTATGTGTGTGTGACCGTCTGTGTCCAGAGGACTGGCCTGCTTGTGTTCTCAGTTCAGTGAGAACTTTCTGAAGAAGATGGAGAAGCAGATGTTGAGACTGAATCTTGCTATCTGGGGCAGAGCCAGGCTGTGTTCCTCTCCCCTCTTCTCCCCTCCCTTCCCCTCCTGCAGGCACTGGAAGAAGCAGACTCAGCCTGGCCCGTCCTGTGCACAGTCCACACTCAGATCACTGGTGAGCGCGGCCAGCAGGTCCAGTTTCTGCGTTGCGTTCGCAGGAGATTCATGTCTTCCTAGGGCCGTGCTGGAGACAGAATGGAGATGGCTGACCGTGCTCAAGGATGCGGCTGCTGATTTAAAGGTGGCTTCGGATTGTCCACTGGTCAACTGTGGTCTGTTCTTGTTCCTCTGTGCTGGATTTAGTCCCTTTTGATAGCCCGGAGTCCTTTCAAAGCAAACATTCCAAAGTGAGCGTCGAGGAGCCTCTGTCTGGTGGTCCCTGTGCCTGGTGCATGATTTATTTGACTTTTTCCACTTGGTATTTTGGACCTGATCAGACCAAGAGACTCTCCTGGGCTTGAAAAAAGAGTTCCGATTGCCATGGGAATGGTGCTGGCCGCGCACTTTGGCAGCCTGGAAGCATGTGCTCCCTTTGATCGAAGCCATGGGCCCTGCCTCCTCCTTCATCCTTCCCCTTCTTCCTTCCCTCCCTCCTTCCCCTCCCCACTTCTCCCTTCCTCTCTCTGTGCAGGGCATGTGAGGGGCTGCCCCTGCTTGTCCACTGGGGCTGACCCCCACTGAGCACAGCCCCCATCCCGCTCCATAGAGAAAGGCACGGAAGTGGGGAGCCGTGGTGTGTATCCCAGAGACCTGCCAGAATTTCAGCATCGGCTCGCCAGCGTGGACCAGCAGGGAGTGCAGCCCCCCAGGCTGGGCCAGGGCGTAGGGCCCAGGTGGAGTCAGAAATCTCTCTCTCCTGTCTAAATCACAACTATCACTGTTTGCCAACTAATTGACTAAACTCAGCATCACCAGTTAGCATTTTATTTTATCCTATCATCTTTGAATTATGATAGATTCGATTTGGCTAATTACAGAAAGTATAGGTTTAAACTGGACTTAACCTCTAGTTAAAGGCAAATAAAACTTAAAAACATAAGTGCTGTATTTCACAAATCAGCTGCGTAATATCAATTACCTCTTTAGTTCTCAAAGGACGACGACGACGATTAAGCCACATGGTATTTGGGGCATTGAAGGATTTTTCTTTTCCTGAAGAGCATTGTACAATTATATTTTTATGAGAAGTAAAGTATCTTCGCCAGAAACATGTCCAGCTGTCTTTTTCAGAGCACTGTAATATGTCTGTCTGCTTACCGTCGTTTTTAAAAAAGTATGGGATTTAAAGAGAAAAATCGGTCTGGGCCCATTTCTGAGTCACCTTGAACGAGAATATCTTGGCTCAAAAATCAGTGGAAGCAGAAAAGTCTGTGAGACTCCATCTCCAAAGCAACCAGCCGAAAGCCAGGCTGGAGGCATGGTTCAAGCAGTAGAGCACAAGTCAGGCAGGCAGCTGAGTGAATACAAGGACCTGAGTTCAAACCTCAGTACCACCACAATAAATATAAAAAAAAAGTGAATGTGTCTGTGTCTGGTGGTAAAACATGTGCCTAGCAAGCATGAAGCCCAGGATCTAATCCTCAATACCAGAAAGCAAAGGGGTGATTTGTTATGCAGCAGTAGATGGCCGTTACAGATCTTCTGTTTTCCTTAAGTACATATTTCATATTTAGTTAATAGTCTAGAACATCTTCCACCAGATAATGACGAAGGCAGTCCTAGCTCTCCTTCCTGCTTTTCAGATTCCAGACTCCACAAGCAACTCCCAGACGACTCCTAGCCCCAGTTGTTGTGGAAGTGCTGTCTGAACCTGGAGCTTGCTGGGAGGGGCGATCACCCACAGGCCCCACTGCTCCTCTGGCTGGCTCAGGTTCTTGTCTCCATTGGGGAGAAGTAGGGGTGCACTTCCACCCCAGTCCCAGCATGGTGGATGGGCCCTGGATGCCTGGCGATGGGTTCCAGCACCTGACCAGGAGCTGGAAGTTCCTTCTGCAGAGCTCCAGGTTCCCAGCCCAATCAATATGTGCCCAGCTAATCATCTGAAGTAAAAGTAGCTGCTCCCTGCCCCCGCCCCATCTCCTGTAATCATAAAGCAGCATGCCAATTTCAAATTTTTCAGAAAAATAAAAGGCCTGGATGCTGTTGGCTCATGCCTACAATCTTAGCTACTCAAGAGAGTAAGACCTGGAAGAATGTGGTTCAAAGCTAGCCCGAGCTAAAAAGTTGAGGGTTTCCATGTTTAGTTAACCAGCCAGCCTTGGAGGCATGACTCAAGTGGTGTGTTGACCATGAGCAAAAAAGTTGATGCAGCACAAGGCTGTGAGTTCAAGCTGTATTACCTGCAAAACAATACAAATTAAAGGGGCTTTTGTGCCAGGCGCCCATGGCTCATGCCTGTAATCCTACCTATTCAGGAGACTGAGATCTGAGGATCATGGTTCAAAACCAGCCCAGGCAAGGAAAGTCTGTGAGACTTATATCTCCAATAAGCCACTAGAAAACCAGAAGTGGCGCTGTGGCTCAAACGGTAGAGTGCTTGCCTTGAGCTGAAGAGCGCAGGGACAGCGCCCAGGCCCAGAGTTCAAGCCCCACGACTGACCAAAAAAAATAATAAAGGGGCTTTTGTAATGATTATTTTCAGTATTGGGGATCAAACCCAAGGCCTTGTATGTCAGGTGGGACTTGAGCCGCATACACCCCCAGTCTCAAATCCAAGTTCTTTACAATATTTGTGTGCCTCCGTTTCGATCTTACTTGGGGTCTCACCTCTCAATCACCAAAGCTGTCTTTTTACCACCTGTTCTCGCTTGATTCCGCGTAGGCCTGTGTTTGCCCCAATGGCGGCCCGTGCCCCAGAGTGGCTGGGGGCATTCCAGGCACGTTCCCTTGCTGACTTCCCGTGAGTGAGAATCCCAGCCCTGCACCCACCCAAGGCTGCTTCCTTCTGTGTTCTGCACCCCAACTTTTAAGCTGTTCCTGCCTAGCAAGCATTTGGAAGGGGCAGAGGACAAGTGGACCCCTGCCACCTTCTTCCCTTCTGTCCCACTGGACTCCTTCCCTCCCAACGCCCTGAATCTAAAGGTCTCACCCAACCCAGACGGAAACCCCGGAAGGAAAGCCGGCCTGTGGTCGGGCGATTTCCACTGTTCCCAGTGGAGCTAGCACAGGCCGTGTGGTGCTAAAAAGAACTTCCATGCGCACGCACGCGCGCGCGCACACACACACACACACACACACACACACACACACGGGCGTGCGCGCCCGAGGCAGCAGCAGAATTTAACAAGGAACACAGGCAACTTTTATTGAGGCCTTTCCTGAAATTTTCTCTAAGGTAGGGGTATGTGTGTGTGTACATGTGCGTGTGCCTGTGCACACCTGTGCACTCATCCTGGGGTTTGAACTCTGCTTTCGCTCCAGCTTGACGTTTTCACCCGAGGCTGGCGCTCTACCACTTGCACCATACCTTCCTTTCCATCAGGCTGTGAATTCTAAGTCCCATGCTAAAGGGGTAGAAAAGGGAGAGACCCTGGCAGATGTGGGGTACCACTGCCAGCTTGGGGGTCCCGTGGGGTTAGGAAATGGTCACGTTCATATAGGTAACCCTGTGACTAGTGAGTGCGTTTGCAGGTTTCATATGGTGGGGGAATGCCATCTGGTACTGGAAGTTCTGGTTGTTCGCTGACTAGTTTACCTCAGCCTTGTCCCTCCTGTGCTGGCAGCTGCCGCTGGCCACACCGCCACCAAGCGGCCACGCCAGGAACCTTCTTCATACTTGGCACGAGCCGAGGGTAGGGGTGAAACGGTGCTGAGGTGGGTGTGCAGAAGGCATTTTGGTTGACCCTGATGTCACCTCTTTATGAGTTCATCTTCTGAATAATGTGGGCTTGGCTCCTTCTGTGCTGACTCTAATTTGCTTCTTTCGTTTGTGCTTATTACAGATGGGGACAGCTTCAAAGAGGGAAAATTAGACAATGCTACGCATTTTCTACCTAAGGTTCCTGATTGTTTCGCCATGAGATTAAATGATGGGAGGCTCCCGGCAAGATCTCCAACGTAGCAGGCACTGGTGGCTCACGCCTGTCATCCCAGCCCCTCAGGAGGCTGAGATCCGAGGATCACAATTTGAAGCCAGACAGCCAGGAAAACCCATGAGACTCTTCATCTGCAACTAACCAGCACAAAGTTGGAAATGAGCTGTGGTTCAAGTGGTAGAGCACTAGCCTTGAGCAAAAAAAAAAAAAAAAAAGAGAGAGAGCTAAAAGACAGCACCCAGGCCCTGAATTCAAGCCCCAGTACTGGGTAGGAAAAAAAAAAGACCCCCCAATGTATGGAGCAGGGCTTTGCATTGCCTGTGGCTACAAGAGAATGTGGACAGTACTCCCAGATGCTACTTGGTAGAAGTAAGAAAAAGCTCCCGGAATGTTCCACACTGGCATATTTGAGAATGTTTGAACTATGTAACCCCATAGTTAAAAAACAACTCAGTGTGGAAGGAAAAACATATATATGGTGAGGCAGAGGAGTCTTCAACCAAGACTGAAAAAGTGAGAAAGATGCTTCTAGAAGGCATCAAACTGACACACGTTGTAATTGTATTGTAATTATATTGTAACTAATGTATATATTTCTTTTTTTTCTTTCGGTGCCAACCCTGGAGCTTGAAATCAAGGCCTGGGCGCTGTCCCTGAGCTGCTTTTGCTCAAGTCTGGTGCTCTACCACTTGAGTCACAGAGCCACTTCCAGTTTTGGGGGGGTTTTGGTAGTTTGTTGGAGATAAAAGAGTCTCATGGACTTTCCTGCCCAGGTTAGTTTGAACTACAAACATCAGATCTCGGCCTCTCAGTATGACAGACGTGAGCCACCAGTGCCTGGCTAATGTACATTATTCTAGGCATGCAACTCACGCACGCTGTGGTACAATGTCTGATGTGAAACCAGCTCCATTCTGGTAGATGAAAGCATGTTAGAGAAAGAGACTTGAACCAAAAGAGCTCAGGGATGGCACCCAGGCCCTGAGTTCAAGCCCCAGGACCAGCCCAAAAGAAAAAAGAGACTCAGAAAGTAGGGTGGGAGAAAAATACATCAAATCCTCTCTGTTTTTCTGATCCAGAGCGTTTTTAATACCCTGCACAGGACAGTCACAGAAGGAACCAAGGCGCTAGACGAACGTGTTAGGCGGGTTTGAGTTGATGGGCCATGCCAGCTTCTTGCCCTTGGCCTCCCGGTTGAAGGAGTCATAGATGGAGTCTTTGGTGCCGGCCTTGGCGAGGGGCGGGATCTCGGAGATGCCGACGTAGTTCCGCTTGGCCATGCGGGAGCTGGTGGTGATGGTGTAGGCGTTGCTGCGGTAGCACTTGGTGGCCGACATGCAGAAGGTCTCCTTCACGCCCCGCCTGAAGTTGGCATTGGAGATGGCGTAGAGCGCGGGCTTGGAGGCCGAGGAGCTGAAGGCGATGCAGGCGACAGCCGTGAACACCAACGCGCTCTGCCGGGCGTCGTGCTCGCCGGGGTGCCATAGCTGCGCCACGTGGAAGGGCAGCCAGGAGAGCAGGAAGAGCAGGCTGAGCAGCAGGAACACCTGCACCGTCCTCACCTTGGTCCTGGGCACCACGTTCATGGTCCGGCGCACCGCGCGCCCGTGGCCGCCCAGCCTCCAGATGTGCCTAGCCACCCGGCGGTAGACCAGCACCAGCAACGCCGAGGGCGCGGCAAAGGCCGCCAGCACGTGCAGCACAGCGAAGGCCGTGCCCGGCCAGGACGCAGGAGGGAAGTGCGGGCAGTGGCCGTCCCCGGCCGGGCCGAAGAGGAAGAGCACGGGGCTGGCCAGCGCCGCGTCCAGCAGCCACGAGGCGGCGATCATCCTCTTGGCCTTCTCCCGGGACACCTTGAAGCTGAGCGGGTAGACAACGGTGTAGAAGCGGTCGACAGAGATGCACAGGAGCACGGAGGTCTGCACGCCGGGCGTCAGGTACTGCGTGAAGCGCACCAGGCGGCACGCAGCCCCGCCCAGCGCCCAGCGGCCCAGCGCGAACTGCAGCAGCACAAAGGGCGCGCCTGCCACGCTGGCCAGGAGGTCGGCGCACGCCAAGGACACCACAAAGTAGTTGGTGGTGGACTGCGCCCTCCGGCTCCTGTGGATAACCAAACAGACCAGGGAATTGCCAAGGACAGAAGACAACCACAGGGTCCCGAAGAACACGCTGGCCGCG